ATCCCCAGTTTTAAAATGGGCTTGAAATTGGGCTTTTTAATTACAGAATATATAAAGGCATTCTCAGTGTGTGCAGCCAGGCTGATCCTCAGTGACTGGGCAGAGACTGTAAAATAATAAAGGTGATCTGAGGGTCGCAAGACACAGACAATGATTCGATTCATTTCCTGAATAGGCACTCTCAGCTCAGGACGTGCCCTGAACACTAAGAGTCATAAAAATGATTCCTCTAAGAGTGAATGTACAAAGCTGTCTACCTACCTGCACCAGGAGTGAAAGCAGAGATCTCACATCAGGAGGAAGGGTATTGCCCTATTGCAGGTGCCCAAGGGAAGGAGTTTAAATCCTCAGAAGAGGAGCCATATTACAGGGCAAGGGGCTCAAGCAGGCATGCTGTCTCAAGCACATACCACAGGGGAAAATGACATAGAGTGCTCCCAAAAGAGACTGCTGGAGACATCAACAATCAAGTCCCATTAGCCCATGTTCAAGGCAAAGCAATTCTGTTCCAGATCCCCCTGAGTGGTAGGGGGAGTCCAAATTCTCTGAAGAAAAAGACCACCAAAAAGTGGGGAATGAAGAAATGTTGCCCCAAACAGCAAGGCTCTGGGCATAGATTAACTTCCTTAACACTTCTGCTCTGTTGGGATTTGCAGATCATCTAAGGATACCCTTGCCTTACTAAACAATACCTCTTCCTTCCCCAAAAGCTTTCACTCAATCCTGTAAAATCATATTCTTTCCCTCTCTTTTGTAGAAACTTTTTCAACTCCCATTCTGCTTTGATGAATCTGTGCATTCTAGAGTTTATGTCAGTATGTAATACTTCAGTCTATAAAATTATAAAACTTTCATGTTTTACATGCCTTATTTATGAGTTGGTTGTCTTTTCCTTATCTCCATCAGTTTGTAAATTCATTGATAGTAGAAACTGTCTACAATTTCTTCTAAATTTTCCTCCTTACCCCAAGGAGTCTGCTCTTAAAGTGTCTGTTGTCCAACAGGATGACTTGCTATGTTTTTGGTGGATCTTATTTCTTACCTCTAAGTGTTGACAAAAAGTCATTAAAATGAAGGAATCAGTGAAGAAAAGAAAATAATAGTAGTGAGAACCCTGGCTCAGTAAGCTGTCTCAGTTGCCTCAGTTCTCCTGAAAACAGGCCAGATCGCAGAATACTCTCAACTCACAGGATACTGACATTAACCAGTCTTGGGAAATACTCCCTGCCCCACTCCCAGGGCCAGCATGGCTGACAATCTTCTCTATTAGTTACCACAATCATAATCTCATGGGAACAATGGTACCCTTCTCTTATAGGTCAGAGTTCACCTTGGTCAATTTACATTCCTGAACCTTCTAAGATTAAGTCTTCTTGCTCCATGGTCCAACCCACAAAACACTTTGATAGGTAGGAATCTGTATTAAGGTGAAAATAGTTGGTAATGACCTGAGCATGACCCAAGATGCCTAAATTGAAGAGAAATTTCCCCATCACTGGAAGTAATCAAACAGAATTTGGGTGATAATATTTAGCGAAGTAATTGTCATGGGAATTAAAAAGCAGGGACAGGAGTGAGACTACAGGTCATCACATGCATTTCCAACTATTAGGGCTCTGGATTATGAATCTTTCTAAGAGAAAGAAGATAGAGGATTTAGGTGAGACATTTCTACCAGCTCAGGTATTAAGCCAGAAGGAAATTTCATCCATATACAAAACTTAAATTCAAAGTAGTAGTTCAAAGAAGTAAATGAGGATGAAAATACTTCTATTGTTAACCTTACAGAAGAGATTCAAAAAATAATCTACGGCAAAATTCCAGTAACATCAAGCAATAAAACAGTTTTATGTCTTGAGCCAGAACTAATCAGTAAATTATTCCTTAAAAAAAACCTCATCTTTCTAAATGTGCATCCTATTTATGGAACAATGAGCAGTTTAAATCTTGAGAAAATCGTGTTCTTGTAAATTCTTATTACGTAAATAATGAACATAAAGTAAAATATAATTTTATATTTTTTTATTTAAAATATAATTTTATATTTAAATTACTAAATTTTCCAAGCAAAAGATTTTATTGCATAGGGAATGCCCTTTGCGCTTTAAACTATTAAATTAAATTTTGTAAGTAGCTGGTTTTTGTCACTCAAGCCTTGTTTCTGTTACATGAAAAGACAATGGGATAGAGCTTTAACAGTCAGATTAAGACAAGCAATTTCCATAATTTATTAACCATATAACTCTGTGGCCAAGTGACTGAAGATTCAGCACCTGTCTCAGACTCATATCACTACATGCATATGCAATTGTTAAAGAGAAATAAACAACTACTCGTTAATTTTACAATTGTTTGAAAGCATATGTATCCTTCTTGCTTCTACATGTTATAGCTCTGCACTAAACTTGTTCCATTCTCTAAATTAATCAATTTAAGAACTAACATTTTAGGAAATACTTTGTTTATAAACCTAACACTAAAGTTCCCATGCCAGTGTTTCTTTGCTGTAAACATGATAAACTATCCGATGAGTGAAGGTAATATCAGGTTTACCTAGCTAATGGCAACAATTACTATGGTTTGGGTTTCAGGGAAAAGTTACGTACCAATGGTACACAATATCTAGCTCTCAGGTGCACATTTCATTTTGAAAGGCATAAAATATAGTGGTATATATTTAAAAATTTTAAATACATATTCACAATAGGTAATCTGTGCAGATTATCTAAGATAACCAAATAAAATAATTCTCAAAATATGATTTCATAGGTCAAAGATCAAGAAATACAATCATTGATGTTTTTTCTAATAAAGTTGTATTTTATCCCATTTCTTTCATTCCAAACTACCTTTAATCACTTTATCACACAGTATATTCTATTTGAACAAAGCAGGTTTGAATTCTTCGTACTGATTCAAGCATGTTGGTTCTTACTTTTACAAAGTTTATAAAAATTCTGTTGCCCTTTCTGGTATCAAAAACCGTTTTGACAAAATTCTATCATTTATAAAAATTATCTATAACTGAAAAGAAACTCAGAAAAGCATGAGTCTTAATCTGTGTGATTTTTAAAGTTTTTTTCCTTAATTATTATAGATCAATAAATTAAAATGTGTTCATATTTTCAAACGTTTAGATTTCATTATATTTCAGAAACAAGAAATTTTAAATTCATTTTCACTTGTTTGAGTGCTAAATGAATATCTTTGAAAAGAGAACTATGTTCTTCATTTTTATTTGTGAATTGTCTTAGTTAATCTTTGCTGTTTGTTTAGTCTTAAAAAGAAACCTTAAATTAGAAACCTGGCATTTAATCTTTCAGATGTGTCATCTGAAGATACCTATCCTGGTTAATATTGTTTACTAGAACTGTCCTGTTTTGAGGGGTTTTTTTTCATGTTAAGTTTGTCTTTGGAAAAATGAGAGATTAAAAAGCATATTGTGAGAATGAATAGCCAGCAAAGGAGGAAGAAACCAGGCAGTTTTGTTGTTCTGGAAGCCAACAAGAACGTGTTTCTAAAAAGAAGACATGATCCACATTGTAACATGCCATTGATTCGCTATAGTAAGAGTATTCTGATTGATTCAAATTAGTTTAAGCAAAGCCTATGTGTATACACATTCTCTTTCAAGCTCCACTTAAACAACAATAAAGAAATAAAAAGAGAACTGAAGCCACTAAAACACAGAGAATGGAAGAAGAGACCATAGCAGGTGAGCAATATCAACAAAATGTTGGAAGATGGAAAGTTGATGGATGAACAGTGACTGACTTAGCTGAGAGGAGAGAGCCCCAGGTTTACAGGGGGAAGGCAGTCTAGAAGAAGCAACATGATTCCTACTGCAGTACTTAGAAAGGATCAGGTACTAGAGGAGTTCCTCTGGAGGGTCAGGGAGCTGAAGACAAAGTAACTGGGTGAAAATTTGTATAAGGAAAAGACAGATGCCCCAAATAACTTCCCAATCCCATACACCTTGAGAATGCCCCTCCCACACTCTAGTAGAAAATAAGAGGAAAGAGTAAAGAGAATTCTCTAGCGAGTTCATAACAGAGAAGTTTAGTAGATTTGCCAGGCAGAGCTGAAATTGGAGCTGAGATTCCAGACTAAAAACTTAGAATATTACATTACAATGTTTATACTAACAGCGGGACTCCCAGCTCTTTCTGCCATTAGGTCCTAGAAAGCTGCTACCCAGGTTTATGCTCTCCGAGCAGGAGAAAGGAGGAAACCACCTCGGGCCAAAAGACCTACAGACACCAAAGAAACAGCTGGTTCCCTGGTTTCTACCTGGTGACCCTAAGGACACATGTGCCGTGCATACTTAAGCTTCCCATCAATTCAGCTTTCAATTAAGATCAGACAGAAGGTAGCATGAAAGTCAAAGTCCAAAATGAATAAGCAGAATAAAGATAACTTAGGAGAAAGAGATATGCTGCATGGAGAAGAGAAGATGGAGTTAAGTGGGCAGGATGCTTACTTCGGAGTATCCTTGGAAGGGACGAAAGCAAGAGTGGGCAGAGAGAAATCAAGCTGCAAGGGCAGACCCATGACAGACTCAGCTTCAGTCTCAGGGGCTACAACAGCCTTTCAGGGTTATCCCAAGTTGGGCCAAGATGCCCAAGCATTCATACCTACTATGGAACACTCTTTGGATGTGGGCCATCCCAGAAAGGGGAGTGATCTTTCATGAAGCATCTCTCTGCAGCTGAGATGATCCTTGAAGGGCCCACAGCTGAAGATTCTCTCACACCACTCCCAGAAGTGGGGGCAACAGGTCCTTCCTTGGAGGGGGACCTGGGTGCCACATCCCATTTTCCACCACAAAAACATCAGAGAGATTGTAATAAATATTTTTAGAGTCTAAAAGAAGCTATTTCTACATCTAGTGAAACACAAAAAAAGAATGCTATGGAGGTTTTGTTTTTTGTTTTTAATGCGGAATATTTTGAGAACACAAAAGAGCTCTTGAAATATAAAAATATAATAATGGCAGGAATTCCCTGGTGGTTGAGTGGTTAGAACTCGGCACTCTCGCTGCTGGGGCCCAGGTTGGATACCTGGTCAGGGAACTAAGATGCTGCAAGCCACGTGGTGCGGCCAAAAAAGAAAAATAATTTTTGGATAAAAAAAAAATTCAAAATTTAAAAATTTAAAAAGTATATAATGACAGAAATTTTAAAACAGCTCCACAGAAAGGGTAGAAGATAAAGTAGAGAAAATATTCCAAAAAACTAAAATAAAACAAGAAAGATTTGGCAAATAGCTTGAATAAAAGGAACTTGAAAAATTAGAGAAACAATTCAGTTCTAATATCTGAATAATGGAAGTTCTAGAAAGAGAGAATGGAGAAAATGAGGCAAAGAAATTATCAAATAATTAATACACAAAAATAACACCAAAAAATCACAAAGGGCATGTGTTTCCAGATTGAAAAGTCCCATTAAGTCTCCAGAACAATAAATAAGAGGAAAAAGGATATATTTTTTGTGTGAAATTTCTGTACTCCAGAAATAAAGAAAAGATTCTAAAAACTTCCAGAGAGAAAAAGTAAATCCCATGTGCAGTATTATTAATTAAAGTAACACTGGGCTTTATAACAACAAAGTGGAAGATAGAGAGTAATTGGAACAACATCTTTAAAATTCTGAGGGAAAATAATTTCCATCCAAAATACCATAAGTAGCCAAGCTTTAATAAAATACGAAGGTAGAAAAAAATAAATTTTCTTCTCATCCAACTTTTCTTAGGAAGTAGCTGGAGAATGAATCCCCCCAAAAAGGAAAGAATAAACCAGGAAAAGCATGTGTTTCAGGAAACAGGAGCAAAGACAGAAAAGGATAAAGAGAATCCCCAGTTTGATATGAAGGGAAAACCCAGGACAAGAGCTTAGCAGTAGGCGTAGGGAATGACTTGTGGAATGAGGAGACAGTCAGAGGTCTTGGGGGGTAAAGGGAGGGATGGTCAAAAAAGGAAACATGTTTTGATTCTATTGAGAGGGGCTATATGCTTCTCTCTGCGATTTAAAGGATGAATCAGTACTAAGTACATAAAAATAAGTTAATGAAAAAATGATGCAACGCTTCATTTAGGAAAACAAAAAGTTGAAAGGTCAGGGCACCCTGCTTAGCTTAGCTGTGCACAGCGTTTATATAGTCATAATAAAGTTAATGCTGAACATAGGTTAAACTAAAAAGGATGATTTCACTATATTTAAAGGATGAGGAAATAGGAAGTATACGTCAAGTCTTGTGGAGAGAATTGACAGGGCTGGATTCTTTCCTACTATAAGTGGAAGTAATAGAAAATATCTAAAACTTAATCACACATATACTAGAAAGTACTGTATAAACATGTTATTTAGACATGTGGAGTTATATGCCAGAAGAAAGAGCTAAATAAATCAAGAGTGGTTTTATCTGTGCATCAAGAGTTGGGCATAAAAAGCGGTGGAAAAGGGTATTGCTGTTTTTCATTATAAATTTTCTATTATTTAACTCTATACACTATATATCTGCATTAAATACAGAATAAAATATTAATTAAAATTCCTGTTTCTATAATAATTTTACATATAATCCCTTGAAAATTTTGATCTATAATGCTTCGATTCAACCCAAGAGGAATGATCCCAAGTTCAAGTATTTTTTATGGTATCTGGGAAAAAAGAAATCTGTGAACTGATGGTGTTTGCACAGTAAAGTTGGCTTTAATGATTTGATTTCCCATCTTGGCTCTGATGAAATACAATGATTTTGCTGGACTTGACCCATTTTACCATTTATCTCATCTAACTTTTCTTCAGCCACCATTAAACAAGAAGAAACAGCTGTTGGAATCTAGGTAAATGTAACTTTCTTGATTTCTCTCCAAATTCTACATTTAACCTGGGTGAGTGAATGAAGGGCTGAAGGATCATCACATTCTCATGTTATAATTTATGTTTATGTCAGGCAAGGGAACACTGTTCATATATCAAACTGTCAAGTATTGTCACCTTAATAGAGTAAACAATTAAAAAGAAGAATTGTAACCACCATTTTAATGGGCTTCTTGTTCATTTATTTCATAAAAAAAAAACTAAAATTGATTTGTAAAAATAAACTACCCATACTTTGCCCCTTTCTTTCTTTTTAAAGTGATCCATCAAACAGACCATCACAAGTGTTCAGTAAATCTATTTTATTTCCTTTATTTTAATAGGAAAATTAGAGAATGGATCCTAGTGGGAAAAAGGCCATTGTCTGGGTTCCTGTTATCTCTTTGTCACCCATAGGGCACAGGAGATTTTCAAAGTTCTTAAAATTGTACATTATTAAAAAAAAAAATAGGTTCCTTTTTCCAAATAAGATAACCCACCACCTCCCTCAAGTGGTCAGTTGGATTAGTTTTCTGTTTCCAGAGCTGACTTGTGGTTTATTTCCAAGAACTGTAGAGTCATGTATAATGGCTGGGCCAAATGGATTATTTTTCTTTAATAAATTCTTTGGCCTTTGGGATAAAGGGGGAAGGTTACATTGAATTGTGCTGGTATTTTTAACTTCTCTATGTCAAGATAAAAAGATATTTAACCAGGGGCTAGCAGTTGTTCACGGGGTCTCCAACTCAGGGCTGCCCTCCCTCCAACCCTCTCCTCTGTTTAAGGGCTTAATCCAAACTCCATCATTTCTCATTACTTAAGGTCTTGTACCAGTTTTTTTTTTTTCCCCACTGGACTAGAGGTGTTAATTCCTGCTTCCTGAACAAATTAGCCTTTCAGTGATTACCCACCACCCACCAAAACTTGTTTAGTAATGTTATTTCCTAACTCAAACTGAATACTTTTAAAAATGTTTCCTCAGTTAATCTCTGAGAGGGGTAGGGAACGAGCACAGAGACTGAGGCTGTCTTTCTGATGAACAACAGTGAATGAAATTCTCATTAATATCTATAGTCAAATCAGTTCCAGGGCATTTAGTACCAAAACTTCATTTCAGGAGACACTTACAAAAGTCACTAGGCTAATTTCAGTTCTAACAATTCCCCAGAATAAAATATACCAACAAGAATGCCTGTGAGGTATTAACTTGAAAGAAAATACATGAGTTGATGTTACCATGTAGTTACCATTCAAAAACACGAACTTTGCTGTCCCTGTTCATGCTTTTGGATGGTAACTAAGTGAAATTCCTTTGCTAGGAGGTTCACTCCTCAGGCTTCTAGTAGGAATGAAAGGAATGAAAGCAGTCAGCCACCAGCCAGGTATAAAAGCAGACACAGTTGAATAGATTTTTGTTGTCTTTAGTGCCTAAACAATGCTTATTCAAAATTTTCAGGTTGATTTAGATAACCTAGAAATCAGCTAAATCAGATTTTGGGGGAGAGGGGTATTTCCAAGCTTTTTCTCTTTCAGCCCCAAACAGAAGATAAACCAACTCCTACTACAAAAATGGTCAGCCTCTCTGGTATTTCTGGCTCCTCATCTGACTTCTCAAGGAAGCCAAAAGCCTAGGAATGAAAAAATGTCCACACGTGCACACAAAACATACTAAACCTATGTCAAAAAAAGAGCCAAGTGTGTAGGAGTGAAGAGGATCCAGGACACTTTAATCTCAAAATACATCAAGCTAGAGCAACGTCTCATTCTTCTATACTTTGGTCTACTTCTGAAAAACTGCCTCTTGATAGGAAGACCTGGTTTCATTACTGTCACAGTACTATGAGTTTGAGACTGTTGATGGACACAAGAAAAGTAATCAACAATATAAAACGTTTCAAAATGTATGTCCTACTGTCTGAAGATCATGTATTAATATCATGATTGGATAATCTGAGGCCAACCTGGGAAAGCTGCCTCAACCTTGCAAACAGACTGCTTTGATACAGTGTTCTACAAAAAATCACTTATCTTTACTTCTGTTGGGGCTCAACACATCAGTCCCATCATTCCTCTCATTCACTGTCTTTGCTTCTCAGTTTGCTCTTGCACTGGAACTGTTTCTTCTAAAAACCCCCAAAGCACAATTATAGCATAAAATTGCAAAGGTGGCTTCACCTTTCACCCACAAAGATCTAGAAGGACGGGACCATTCAAGGTGTGGATATACCCCAAGGAGGAAATCCCTTTATCTAGAGAAAACTTTAATTGAAGAGTTTTGACTTCTACTCAAGCGGTCTGTGATAATCAAAAGAACTCAATACTGTTTCTATTTTACAAGAAGGGAAAATTCACTTATATTGACTTCCAGGGAACCAATATCTTGATTCACTTTTTTGTGTAAAGTGTTATATAGGAAAGTGTGGTTAGGGATAGTATCCCTTTAGGGGCTTGAGGTTGAGACAAACATCAGTGATTTCCTCATTTTACGGGTAGAATGCCATAATGAAGTTTCCATATTTTAGCAAATTGAAGGTCATGGCAGCCAAACAGACGTGACGAAGTACAGATTCAAAATTCATACCCTAACGTGTCTGGGGGCTTTTTGTGGGCTTCCTGAGGCTTAACCAACAAAGACTCTAGGTGTGTCTGAAATGAGACCATTCCTTTGTTTTCTGTGACTTACACTCTTCTGGGTTTGGAATATTGGTTTAATAAAGAAGAACTGAATGCTTGTGGCCTATTGCCTAACCCAGAACCCCACCAATGCCATTCCTGACGGTAGCCTCTGGGGAACGGGGGACATTGGGGAGTGACAGGCACAGAAAGGTGAGAAAAGAAAAGGCACTGCCTAGGCCAGTACTCCAAATTTAACCTCCTGATTCTGGGGTGGGATGTGAGATTCTGCATATGTCTCATAAGCTCCCAGGACCACATTTTGAGTAACGAGGACCCTGGATCAGGGCTCCTCACGTTACCTTTTAAGAAGGAATAGTTCCCCCACTCACCCAATCCCATGTAGGAGCTTGCTCCTATTTCTCTCAGACAAGAGAAAATTTTCCTGGGCCAGAGAAAGAGCCCACAGTAACACACTAATCACTTCTGCAGCACAGAAATGACCAGATGCACGGCCAGAAATTCTGCTGGGTTCCAGGACGGGTGTCTGAGAAAGAAGACAAACCAAGTTCCTCACTGTACTGCTTCAGGCCACACGGC